GGACTCCTGCGTCCATCAGAAGCTGCGATCAAAGTTTTGAGCAGGCATGGTCTCTGCTGTCCTTGGCTGCCTTCACTCGGTCAGATGGGCTCAGGAAGCTAATCAACAAAGAAAGAAATAAAGCTGGAGCTCGTCCCTCACGTTTGTCAGACTCCTTACAATCCCATTGGCCTCGTTTATCTCTAAACTTTAATGTCTTGGTTTTATTCAAAACTGACTTTGGAATTATGTGAATCATTAATGATGAAGCACATAAACACGGAACAACATTCTAAATCTTATAAATTATATCTTAGCCAGACACCAAGAAGGAACAAAAGGAAGAAAGCTCTATTTGCATTTTGTTCGAGGCCAATGAAAACACAACAATCTTTCAGTTTTCACACACGAGAGCTCATCTTCACATAACTAATGTAGGTACTATCAATAAATAAGGTAGGTTATCCTGTTTTTGTTTGTTGTATGATTCTATCTGTTCAGCAGTCCTGAGTCTTTTTAGCTGGATTTATCTTTCGGCATTGATGGGGCCTTTCCTGATGTCTAAGCTGCCCATGCCAGAGGCAATAATGCTCCCCAATACCATCAGAGAATCAGGATTTTTAACTGTGAACTGATAACAGGCTGGATGGTCTTAGTCCTCTTTAGTACAGAGGATGTGGTGTCTGTGGTTTGTAAAAAGACCTACAAACTTAGATTCATCTGACCTTTTAAATGAGATTTGGCCCAGAGAAGACAGTTTCTGTAAGGTGTTCATACAAGTCTTCTTCGCGTGATATGAGTTTTAACCAAAATTTGTGGATGGCATGGTGAACGATGTTTACAGACAATGATTTGTGGAAGTGTTCCATGAGATGATGTCCAGAACCAATTCAGAAACCATTTTTAATACAGTGAGCCCGGAGACCAGGACCGTCGAATATCGACCGTTAGTCTATGAGCTCAGAGGGATAAGATTAGGAATGGGATGATCAGAGGTACAGCACAGGTTGAACAACTGGGAGATAAAGTTAGAGAGGCCAGACTGAGATGGTTTGGACATGTCCAGAGGAGGGACAGTGGGTATACTGGTAGAAGGATGTTAGAGATGCAGCTGTCAGGAAAAAGACAAAGAGAAGAGCTAGTTGGAGTGAGGACAGAGGATGTAGAGGACAGATTGAGATGGAGGAGGATGACTCACTGTGGTGACCCCTGAAGAGGGAAAAGAATGAGAAGAAGAAGCCTATGAGCTCAGAGATTTCTACACATTCTTGGAATATTTTTGACAATACAGTAGTCCCTCGTTTATCGCGGTAGTTATGCTCCGGACACCCCGCAATAGGTAAAAATCCATGAAGTAGGAATGTTATATTTATTTTAGTATTTATATATATATATATATATATATATATATATATATATATATATATATATATTAAGGCATTGTAAACCCTTCCCACACTCTTGCATGTTCTAAGCTCTTAAACCTTTGTAATTTTAAGAGCATGCATATATGTACTGTACAACATGTACTGTACAACATGTACTGTACTATACTGCAAAATTTTACTCACCAGCTCTGCAGAACAGCAGCTCCGTTACGGTTCGGCAGACCTACCCTGCTGGTTCTGGTCCTGTTCTGGTCAGCAGCCCTTAAGCACCAAAATGCTTTTGGAGGGAGTTGGACCTTTGGCCAGCACGGGACCATACAGTGGTCGAGATCGAATCCAATCTGGATCGGGGAAGTCCCGGTGGTCTCCAGAGAGACCGCTGGACCTCTGGTTGGCCCCTTCCTGCTCGGGAGGCTTCGTGGGCCGGCGGGCGGCACTCTGATTGATTGACTGAGTCTGGAGGTCCAGTTCTGGTCCGGTTCCCAGTCGGTTCCATGTGGCTCTCTGCATCCACTGGGCGACAAAGTCACTATGAGCATGTACATTACTTTTTTGGATTGGATCAAAACTTTCCCTCCATTTCAGCAGAAGGCAATGGCTGGAAGCACTGTTGCTTCTGGTAAATGTAGTCCTTTAGAGTGGTGATACATTGTAGTCTTATTGAGAGAAAACTACAAAATGGTGGCGCCTGTTTTTTTTTTTTTTTCATTTTTTTTTTTTACTGAACAGTATCCTGTACCGTCCCAATCACTCGAGTAATATTAAAGTTGACAACCATGCGTCGTGCCAATTTTTTTTTTCTCGTGTACAATCTCACTTTGAAAAACTCGAAAGAGCGAGTCATCGAAAGTCAAACCGCGAAGTAGCGAGGGACTACTGTATTATGAACTGTAGATGATTGAGTAGTCAACGTCTTCCATTGAGGAGCATTGTTGTGAAATCGTTCAACTTTTTTTAGACTGTTTTTCAAAGACCGCTGAACCCCTTCCCATCTTTACTTCTAAAAGATTCCAGCTCTCTGGAAAGTTTATTTTGTACCCAGTTCTCCTCCTGAGTGACCTGTTGCCAATTATCCTAATTAAAAGGAAAAGTCCTCCTCCAGCTGTTTATTACTCGTACAACTTACGTTACAACCTTTTGTTGCCCCTGAACAAAATGTTTTTGATACGTTGCTGCCATGAAATGTAAAATTAGCTTTTTTATTTAAAAAATATATATATTTCTCAGTTTAAACTTTGATATGATTACAAAGTTCTACTGGGAATGAAATATGGCTATATGTGATTTATACTTATTAGGCATTCACACTATTGTGATCCTGTTTATGTTTATTATTATACTTCCTACTTCTAATTACTTTAAACTTTTTAGTACGTTTTTCGGAATTGTTCTTATTCTCGAGCAGACAATCCTGCTATGACTTTTGGTATTGAGCTAACTAGCTTTTTGAAATATTTAGCCTTTTCTGCCTTTTTTTTTCTCACAGAAAATGATTTGAGCTCATTTTCCATCCTTCAGATCTTTAGATCTGTTTACAACCTTTTACTGCCTCTTTCACATTTTGTTCTGCTTCAGCTTCTTTCAGCTTCCTTGTGCAAATGTAAACTTTTTTCAGCTATTTTCAGCTGTTTTTTCAGCTGTTTCTGTTCCTTTCAGATTCTTTCTAACTACAAAATTTTTGTGCTTCTTCTAACTTATTTCAACTCATTTCAGCTTATGCTCCTTTCAGCTTATTTATGCAAGTTTCAGCTTCTTCTGCTATGTCAGCTACTACCGGTATTTAGCTGTTTTTATGCTAATTGGAGCATTTTCAGCTAATTCCACATTTTTTGCACTCATTTAAACTTTTTCAGACTAATTCGGCAAAAATGTGCTCTTTCCACTTCCTTCTGGTAAATTCAGCTTCTTTCTGATTTTTCAGCTGTTTTATTCGCAAGTTTCAGCTTTTATCAGATAATTTCCACTTTTTTCTGTTCGTTTCGGCTTTTTTCAGTCTATGTGGGTACAATTATGCGCTCTTCATTTCCTTCTGATAATGTACTCTTTTGGACTTTTCAGCTATGTTTCAGCTATTTTTTCTAATTCAGCTTTTTGAGCTAATTTACAAATGTTTGTGCTCATTCCTGCCTATTTAAACCTAATTCAGCAAATATGAGTTCTTTCTGCGTTCTTCTGCTAATTTAAGCTTGTTCTTTCATTTCAGCTACATTTCAGCATGTTTTAGCTAATTTCAGCTGTTTTTCAGCAATAAGCATTCACACTGCATTTTCACAGGAAATGCAATTCCTCTATTTTTTTTTTACGATTAACACAACGTCCCAACTTTCTCAGAATCTGGGTTGTATGGAATCGCTCTGAAACAGCAGAGCAGAGTTCAATGTTTGTGTTGGCTCTTCTGAATGCATGCGCTGCTTTTTGGTTGTTTAAAAGTGACGTCAGAACATCTAAGCCCAGTTATTTGGGAGTTTGAACCATAATCAAAACAAGCATTTTAAAACTCCCACGTTTAATGAATTCAGAGTTTGATGAATAATAGAGCACATTCTCTTTGTCTGTCCTTTGCTTTCTGATTGATTTCAAAGGTTATTCCTTATCACGGGGTAATGGCATCTGACTCGGCCCGGCGCTCCGAAGGGAGAACCTTCTAATGACCGTTTGGGTTATTAACACATCACCTTTCTGTGTGCGATACATCATCCCTCAGCTCCATTGTCTGTTCTTCCCTTCTAATCACAAAGATTATTAAGGTGACCTGGGTTGGAGTAAGGGAACATCCAAAGATGATGAATGCCAAATAAAGTCACTTTCATTTTCCGCCTCAGTCGCACAGTAACTGTCTCTGCCCTTCCTGCTAACAAGCTCAGCCAGACAGGATTCTCTTCACATTCCTGCTTAGGAACCCATAATTAGAAGGAAAGGGGTCAACACTAGAATTATCCACAATTTACTTAATTTTTACAGTTTTATTACTCAGGACAGTACTGAAAATTGATCCAGTAATTTTCAGTGAGGTCGTCTCGATGGGTTCTTTTTTTCTTGTTTGTGCTGAGACGTTTTGCCTTCCATCCAGAAGGCTTCATCAGTCTGAGGAAACTCCAAACAAAACTGCTTCTCCCCCAACAGCTTACTCCAAAGTGGGAAAAAACTATTATTTTGGTGCTAAGATGGTCTCTGGGGCACGCCCTCTCCTCCGGTGCCCGCCCTCTCCCTCGTCGACAGTCATGTCAAACTGGTTCAAAACACCAAAGTCCATGCTCGGTTATCCAGGTATAAAATCCCAACTATTTTCTGTCAGGTCATCTGGATGAAAGGTGAAATGTCTCAGCACAAAAACAAAGAAACCGTCCAGATGACCTGACTGGAAGTTGTTTAATTTTATTCCTGGATTATTGAACATAGACTTTGGGGTACTGAAAATTGAGATTTTTGGTTGGTTTGCACCTCCTGTCCTCAGAAAGGTGAAAGACAAGCGATCAAGTTTTTGCCCCATGTCTTTGTGCGTCTGTGATTGTGTCTGTCTGTTAGCAAAATATCTCATGAACCACTGGATGGGTTTAAATGAAGCTCTCAGAAAGTAATCCTTCGATTCGATCATTCGTGGTAAGCTGATGATCATTGCGTGTCCTTCCTCAGGTTCTCTCTCTGGGTGCGGATGTCCTTCCTGAATACAAGCTGCAGACGCCACGTATAGACAAGTGGACCATCCTCCATTACAGCCCCTTTAAAGCCGTGTGGGACTGGCTCATCCTGCTGCTCGTCATCTACACGGCCATTTTCACGCCCTACTCTGCTGCCTTCCTGCTCAACGACATCGAGGAGCGACACCGGCGGGAGTGCGGATACTCCTGCTCCCCGCTGAACGTGGTGGACCTGATCGTGGACATCATGTTCATTGTGGACATCCTCATAAACTTCAGGACCACTTACGTCAACGCCAACGAGGAAGTGGTCAGCCATCCGGCCAAGATTGCCATCCATTACTTTAAAGGCTGGTTCCTCATAGACATGGTGGCGGCCATCCCGTTCGACCTGCTCATCTTTGGCTCAGGATCTGAAGAGGTGAGGAGGGGGGACGGGGGGGAGGGGTTAATGAATACCCAATAATCATTACAAATGCACAGAGAAGTAGTTTGTTGGGAAGTATTCTCCATCTTTCAGAGCGAGGAAGGCTTAGTAAGTTCTAACAAAGACAACTGGAAATCTTTGTTTTATCCCACTGCCAAAACCCAAAGGAAGTCACCCCAGTACAAGATGGCTGCCATGACTAACAAGATGGCTGCCATGACTAATTGACATTAGCCATCACATATATGGCTAAGGCTGATTACGACCCAATCATCTTAACAGATATTGATCTAAAAGTAGGTGTGGTAGTGGCAGCACGTATTCCAGGTGCTACACCATGTGTGTCATCTTGGGCTAAAACTTTGGCATTACCTGTCGGAGCCAGTCCCATTTATTTGTTAGCAAATATCTTGAGTGGGGGTGTAACTGTATGCAGCCACGGTTTGGTGCGTACCGCGCTGTGAAGGTCAGGGTTCCGTTTGAGTTTAGTACAACAGGAAAGAAGAGTAAAATATTTTTTTAAATAGACAATAATTCTCCTAGAAGCTGACAGAAAAACAAACCACCTTTGTTATTGAGGGCGGAGTCTAAGGTAACAGGTAAGATACAACATGTTTGGATTTTTTTAGCTGTCCAGGAGTGTGTGCTTCATATAATTTGACCAAAAAAAAAAAAAAAAAACAGTTGAAAATACAAAGCAAGACAGAACTGAATATAACAAAGTCCATGCTCAATAATCCAGGTATACAATCCAACATTTTTCAGTCAGGTCATCTGGATGGTTTCTTTTTTTTTTCCCTGAAATGTTTCGCCTTCGATCCAGAAGGCTTCATCAGTCAAGGAAACGCACAACAAAACTGATTGTTCCACTTTGTAGTAAGCTGTTGGGGGAAAAATCTGTTTTGTTGTGTGTTTCCTTGACTGATGAAGCCTTCTGGATCAAAGGCGAAACGTTTCAGCACAAAAAAAGAAACTGTCCAGACTGAAAAATGTTGGATGTAAAATAAAATGTTTAATACTCAAAGTTAGCTGCTTAATGAGCTGAGTGCCGGTGTAAACAAATGATTCTTGATTAGCAAAATGAACTAAATACACAAATGACTTGCTATAATAATTTTTTAATGTTCCAAATTGATATAAATTTCATGCTCAATAATCCAGGTAAAAAATCCAACAAAGTCAGGTCCTCTGGACGGTTTCTTTTTATGTTGAGACATTTTGTCCTTCATCCAAAGGACTTCATCAGTCCAAGGAACCACAACAAACTCAGTCCCACAAGCAGCACACTCCCATAGTGGACCAACCATTTTGGCCTATGTTACCAAATATTACCAAATTGATAATACAACTGCCTGCCATACAAATCTCTCCTCCCTCTGTTGTAGCAGTCTGCGATCAGCAACACTGAGTTTTTCCCCACACAGCTGATTTTAATTAAACAGGCAGATCTTTAACCTTCTGAGGATTACTAACACAAAGTAGTAAAACACTAGCTAAAAGCTAAATTTAGCAAAAGGTTAATGAAATACAGCAAAATGGTAAGTAGAAGCTAAAGGTAGTAGAATGTTAGCTAAAAGCAGCCAAAAGTTAGGTAACACTAAAAGTAGCAAAAAGCTTGTTAAAAGTAGGAATAGCCTAATTAAAAGTAACAAAAAGCTAGCTAGTAGCTACAAGTAGCATAAAAGCCAACCTAAAGCTAAAAATGCTAATTAAAAGCAGCAATAAGCAAGTTAAAAGCCAAAAGTAGCAAAAAGCTAGCTAATTAGAGCAAAATGGTAGTTATAAACTGAAAGTAGTAAAATATTAGCTAAAAGCAGCAAAAAGTTAGGTGAAAATAAAAATAAAGAAAAGCTATATAGATGTTGGAAAGGGATAGTAATTAATATCAAATGTCTAGCTAAAAGTAGCAAAAGGCTAAGAGTTAAAATGACTAAAATGCTAGTTAATGTAGCAGAAGACAAGTAAAAGTTATAGGTAGCAAAATGCTACCCAAAAGCTAAAATTAGCACAAAATGCAACTAAAATGTTAAAGTATCAAATAGCTATTTAAAAAAGCTAAAATCTTCCAAAAGAGGTAAAAATAGCACAAAACTAGCAAAAAGTACAAGTATCAAAAGGCTGTCTAACAGTATTTAAAAAAAGTTGTTAAAAGATAAAAAATAGCTGAACGGTAGCTCAAAATAAAAAGTTGCAAAAGGGTAGCTAAAAGCTAAAGTGTGTAAAAATATGGTCGCTAACGTAACCTAGCTAAAAGCTCAAAGTAGCAGAACAGAACACAAGTAGATGAAAACTTACAGTTGCACAGATTAAAGCTAAAAGTTATGAAACGGTAGATGAAAGCACAATTTAGCAATGGGTGAGCTAAAAGTAGCAAAAGGATAGCTCAAAGCTCAAAGTGGAAGAACAGTAGCTTAAAATAGCTAAAAGTAACATACGAAGAGAAATATAGAGCTCGTACGCTGAAGCAGATTTCGGAGAGAATGTTTTTGAAAGAACTGGAGAAATAATTTTATTTCTCAGGGAACGTTTTTGTAAATAAACTTTTGTTTTGTAAAGTACCGAAGTTACACAAACCAAAAGTCATAGCACCCATCTCCTAAATGAGCCGAATGTATAGATATGATATATAGGTACTGGTCATAAAATTAGAATATCATGAAAAAGTTGATTTATTTCAGTAATTCCATTCAAAAAGTGAAACTTGTATATTATATGCATTCATTACACACAGACTTATATATTTCAAATGTTTATTTATTTAAATGTTGATGATTATAACTGACAACTAATGAAAACCCCAAATTCAGTATCTCAGAAAATTAGAATATTACTTAAGACCAATAAAAAAAAGGATTTTTAGAAATGTTGGCCAACTGAAAAGTATGAACATGAAAAGTATGAGCATGTGCAGCATCAGTACTTAGTTGGGGCTCCTTTTGTCTGGATTACTGCATTAATGCGACGTGGCATGAAGTTGATCAGTCTGTGGCACTGCTCAGGTGTGATGAGAGCCCAGGTTGCTCTGATAGTGGTCTTCAGCTCTTCTGAATTGTTGGGTCTGGTGTATCACATCTTCCTCTTCACCATACTCCATAGATTTTCTATGGGGTTAAGGTCAGGAGAGTTTGCTGGCCAGTTAAGAACAGGGATACCATGGTTCTTAAACCAGGTACTGGTAGCTTTGGCACTGTGTGCAGGTGCCAAGTCCTGTTGGAAAATGAAATCTGCATCTCCATAAAGTTGCTCAGCAGGAAGCATGAAGTTTTTTAAAACTTTCTGGCAGATGACTGCCTTGATCTTAGATCTCAGAAAACACAGTGGACCCACACCAGCAGATGACGTGGCACCCCAAACTATTACTGACTGTGAAAACTTGACACTGGACCTCAAGCAACGTGGACTCTGTGCCTCTCCTCTCTTCCTCCAGACTCTGGGACCTTGATTTCCAAAGGAAATGCAAAAATTACTTTCATCAGAGAACACAACTTTGAACCACTCAGCAGCAGTCCCAGGCGAGACACTTCTGATGCTGTCTCTTGTTCAAGAGTGGCTTGACACAAGGAATGCGACAGCTGAAACCTATGTCTTGCATACGTCTGTGTGTGGTGGTTCTTGAAGCACTAACTGCAGTCCACTCTTTGTGAATCTCCCACACATTTTGGAATGGGTTTTGTTTCACAATCCTCTCCAGGGTGCAGTTATCCCTATTGCTTGTACACTTTTTTCCTACACCTTTTCCTTCCCTTCACCTCTCTATTAATGTTTGGACACAGAGCTCTGTGAACAGCCATCCTCTTTATCATTGACCTTTTGTGTCTTACCCTCCTTGTGCAAGGTGCCAATGGTCGTCTTTTGGACAACTGTCAAGTCAGCAGTCTTCCCCATGATTGTGTAGCTACAGAACTAGACTGAGACCGTTTAAAGGCCTTTACAGGTGTTTTGAGTTAATTAGCTGATTAGAGTGTGGCACCAGGTGTCTTCAATATTGAACCTTTTCACAATATTATAATTTTATTAGATACTGAATTTGGGGTTTTCATTAGTTGTCATTTATAATCATCAACATTAAAATAAATAAGCATTTGAAATATATCGGTCTGTGTGTAATGAATGAATATAATATACAAGTTTCACTTTTAGAATGGAATTACTGAAATAAATCAACTTTTTCATGATATTCTAATTTTATGACCAGCACCTGTGTGAAAAGCTAAAATCCTGTAAATAACAATGCGCTCATGTGATACTGCGACATTTCAAAAGATCTGTGAGCTCTCAGACCTCGATATCAGCCGGCTGGTTTTGCTGACTCATCGTTCACCATTAGCTTTGTGGTTTTTAGTAGGACCTTTGCCCGAGGCCTCCAGTGAGTGGCGTTTGGAGAAAAAGGAGTGGACAACTGAGCAATACCATGGCCTGATGTACGTCCTCATCATGCTGCCAGATGACTGGTGGAGTGACAGAATGTGTTCCCAGTACAACGTGTGTCCTAAGCACACTGTCAAGATGAAGAGGACGACAAAACGTATTTTTAGCGTCTCCAATAAGACACAGAAACTGAAAATAACGTACAATTTTTAGGGTGTTATTTTGGCTTTTGCTCAACGCTTCGGACTATTTATAGACGACGTATCGTGCACCTTTGTTGCTTAGAAACCACATCTGACAGCGCATTCCTGCACGTTTCGCTGATGGTTTTTGAACCGTAAGAGTAGCAGTTGAAGGCTCTTGTGATAATTTCTGCTTTGATTGTCTGCGAAGGGTTTTAGCTTGGTAGACTGGCAAATGAGAAGAAAATGTGTGGTGATGAATTTACCTACAGGAGATCGCCGCCTTCATGTTCCTGTTAATGCTGTGTTCTGATCAGATGTGGAGATTTGCATATTAAGTTGATGTTTGGAGTCTCTGCGATTGAGATTGTAGCTGATTCAGCATTCACCCTATGGTGATCCTGTTTCTCTTTATTCTTTCTGTCCTTTATCTTTTTTGACATC